GAGGCGAGGGGGCGGGGGGGGGGGAAGGGGAGGAGGGCAGAGGGTGGCTAAATGGGAACGGGGTGTCCTCTGAGCTTCTCCGACCTGTTGTTCCTGCTGCTCAAACACTCCACCCCAATCCTTGCTGTCCTACACCAGACTGTTCCCAGGATTATTACGCCTTCCACGCTTTCCAGGGCCCAGGGCCAAGTCCACCTTCCAGGGTACCTTACAAGTTCTGCACCAACTGTCCCAGCAGCGTCGTTGTAATCACTCTGCCTTTGTGCATCTCTGCCTCTCTGCAGCTCTTGCCACCCCTGACCTTTGGCTACGTTGGTGTTCAGCCAAGTAACTCCTCTTTCTGCTTCTTCTCCACCTGGAAAAGTTCTACTATTCATACTTCAGAACCAACCACCTCTAGGAAACTGCACTGTAGCAGCTCATTCTCCATCCGTGGCTCCCTTGGCTCTGGGCCAGCACTGTCCTGCACTGTCCCTGTCTGTCTGTCACTACTAGACGTGTGCACAGGGGCTGAGGGCTTCTCATCTGTGCCTTCACTTAGAAACAACACCACACTGATGTCTATCCGGGTGACTACAGTGGGGGTCCTGAGCAACCTGGAGAGGCTCCAGCCAAGCCTGGGATTGGGGAGCAGGCCAGAGAACTCCTCTCTGGGGAGGTCTGCAGACCTGGGGGAGGGGAGGCTCTTGGGGAGCAGCCCCCAGTCAGCCTGGGGATTCTGAGAGCTGGGTGTGTGTGTGTGTGTGTGTGTGTGTGTGTGTGTGTGTGTGTGTGAGGAACAGAGGTTGACTCCGCACATGGGCAAGGCCAGTGGCCCAGGGCAGCAGCTCAGGAATCTGGACACAATTCAGAGTCTGGAAAAATCCCTCTGGCAGTGCAGTTGATGGAGAACCCAGAGGCTCCCTGGGTGCTGTTTTGGGAATTTGTGGGGTTTTTTTTGTTGTCATTGCACCCCTCCTCCCTGTTCCAGGGATTAACTCCAGGGCCCTCTCACTGATCTACACACCCAGTTTCTTTATAAATTTTTTTTAATTTTTAGGCAAGATCTCACCAAGTCACTAGGTTGCCCAGGCTGGGATTGACCTGGTGATCCCCTTGCCTCAGGCCTTTCTGTCCCACTATGCCTGGTGGTGGGTGTTTTTAGTGACCGTGAAGACTGGGGAGCAGGGGCCATCCTGGGAGTTAGGGGAGGTGGCCGGGTGCCGGATGCCTTGTGCTGGGTAGGGCAGCGCGTCCCCTGGAGGACAGGACTGCCCCTGTCCCACTTCGCTGCCGAGTTTTCCGCTGGGCACTGGGGGAGAGGAAAAACACCCGAGGGACCACTTGCCCTGCTCACGCAGGAGCCCAAGCCAGCCTGGCTGCCAACATGCACTGAATGCCACGCACACTGCTCTTTGCTGTGTTCAGAGCCGTGCCTTGTGTTGTTTTGGAAGGTCCATGCCTGCTGCCAGCGCCAGGACATTCCCTGAACTGCCCTGCAACTGTGGCCTCACCCTGGTGGATTCTGTTTATAGCTATAAGGGTCTCGTTACCTTATTATATCCTCCAGCGTAGTGGATACCTGTATTTACAACATAAAATACCTATCATCTTAAATTGCTCTTTGTTTATTCTTATTTATTTATTTATTTTTAGACAGAGTTTCACTATGCAGGGTAGGCTGGCCTGGACCTTGTTATGTAGCCAAAGCTGGCCTCAAACTTCTGGTGATACTTCTGCCTCAGCCTCCCAAGTTCTGGGGTGACAGGCATGCACCACCATGCCTGGGTCTTATGGCAGAGCTAGTTCTAAATGTTTTATGAATAATTAACTCATTTAACCCTCAAACAGTGCTATACAGTAAAACAGTATTGTTATTCTTTTTATTTGGGGCTAAATTCGGGTTCAGAGAGGCTCAGTGACTTACCTAAGGCCACACAGCTGGAAAGTGGAGAACTAGGATCTAAACTAGCACCTGTGCCCTTCATCACTGGCCCACTGTGACCCCTCTGAAACCTCAATATGACAGTGGGAACATTTCCTTTTCTTTGCAGTACTAGGGATTGAACCAGGGTCTTGCACATCCTCAGCCCTTTTACTTTTATTCTTGAAACAGTCTAAGTGGCCCAGGTTGGCCTTTAACTTGCCACCCTCCTGCCTCAGCTTCCTAAATAGCTGAGATTACAGGTGTGGACCATGGTGCTCAGCAAGGCTGATTGTCTTTTGGAAGTTATGTGAATATGTATATTTTGTTGCATTTCAGGGTAATAAAAGGTGCTACAAAATATCTTTCACCAGCCAGTATGATTTTTTTCTTTTTTTGGTTCCAGGAATCGAACTCAGTACCTTGTGCTTGCCAGGCAGGCTCTTGTGCCGCTGAGCTATATCCCTGGCAAAAATTTCTGGAAGTTTTTTTTTTTTTTTTTTTTGTGGAACCAGGGATTGAACTCAGGCCTTTGTGCTTGCCAGGGAAGCGCTTATTCCACGGAGCCGTCTCCCCAGCCTCACCAGCCAAGTATGGTGTGCATCCCAGTGCTCTGGAGACTGAGGCAGGAGGATCATTGTGACCTCCAGGCCAGCCTGGGACCCATAATAAGACCCTGTCTCTTGGGGCCGGGGAGATGGCTCAGTAGAATAAGCTCTTGCCTGGCAAGCGCAAGGGCCTGAGTTCAATCCCCGGTTCTGGAAAAAAAAAAAAAAATCTATCTCTATCTCTATTTCTGGGTGGAGAGCTTGTGCCAGTCAGGCTGGCCTGGATTTTGGGGTGCTCTGCTGGGGGCACTTCAACATTTGGAGGGAGTGGTAACTAGGAAGGCAGCTGGGGTGCAGGGCGAGGGGGGCGAGGGGGTGGCTGGCAGCCTCAAGGCCTAAGAGGTCTGGTGAGGTCGGGGCTGGCGGGCTTGCTGGGGTCTGGTGGAAGCGGGGGACAAAAGTGTGCCGCGAGGCGCTGAGGAGGGGACACAGGGCCCTGAGATGGGAGCAGGGTCCTGCTGCATGGGTCTCCAGGGTCCCTGAGGGCAATCTCCGCAGCAGGGGCCCCTCATCTCCTCTCCAGCTCTGCCTGCTTCTCCCCATTTGCCCAGGTGCACGCTACTGTTAGCCCCACGCGCTAAGTGTTCCGCTTTACCCGGGCGCGGAGCAGAACTAGGACTGACGCCTCCACTCCACCCAAGGCCCCAGCCGCCCCACTGTCCTGCCGATTCACCACCCGTGAGCCCTTTGCCGCCCGCAGAGGGGACACGCGCCTCTGCGGCCCCGCCTTTGCGGACTGCTCGGGGGAGTCCCGGGTGCAGCCACCAGGGGGCGCACGAGCTGCAGGTCCGCGCAGGTGTCGGTGTCTGCAAGCTCGGAGGTCAGGGCTGTGGCCAGCGCTCCTCCTGGTTCCCAACCCGGCTGTCTGGGGCGCTCCGGAATCTGAGAAGCGGAGACCCACGGACTCGCTGCTCACTAAGGCCCTGCGGGGCAGGAGCTGCTGTGACTCCTAGGTTACAGATGCGGAAACTGAGGCCCAGAGAAGGGCGTGGACAGGCCGCGCCACTAGGCCTGTGCTTTCGTTGCCGGAGAGAGGGGCTTCCACCACTAGGGGGCTCCCGTGTAAATGAGAGGTGGGGTTAAAGGTGGGGTTCCTCAAAAGCAAGGGGCTACCTCTCAGCAAAGAATAAGGCTCGAGGGCGACCGGTGACCCCCAAGGGTTCAGCCCCCCCAGGCTGCGACTCAGCGGGACCCCGCCCAGCCTCGCTCACCCCCGTGGGCACCGGGACCCGCGTCCCTGGCCGCCGCCTCCCTACACTGAGGGCAGAGCTCCGGGCCCGCGTGGGCGAGTTCACGGTCACTGAACTGTAGGAGGCAGAGCTGGCTTGGCAGGGGACAGGGCTTGTTTCAGGAAAGTCCCTTCATCGAGGGGACCCCCCTCCTCAGCAGGGACACCGGAGGAGGGACGTTGTTCTGTGTTGAGTCTTTGAGATGATCTAGATTCCTGGGTACAGATCCTCCTGGAGGACTCCTCCCCTGCAGCCAAGTGATACTCCTCTCTCCCGATCAGAGACCATAGGTTAGACCGCAGGAAGGACTGCCTGCCTAGGCACAGGAGAGTTCTGGGGTTCCAGCGGCCGCTCGGCAGCCTGGATTTCGAGCGCACGAGTGAGATTTCCGAAGCTGCCACAAGCAGGAGCGAGATCAAGGCCAAACGGAGAGGCCGAAACGACTCCGTTTGTCGAGGGCAGGGGCCATGGGGGCAGAAGGGTCGGGGCCACAGTGTGCGGCGCCCTGGGCCTTGATTGAACCTGGAAGGTGATAGGGAGGGGGCCACATGCGGCTGGCAGGACCTCCCCGGGGCGGAAGGGGGTGCCTGGATGGGAGGGGAAGGCGTAGGGCACGGGTGAGCTGGGTGGGAAGGGCCCACGGCTAAATGCAGGTCCAGCCGAGGGGTCACGCAAGGTGGAGCCCAGCCCGGAAGGTAGGGTCACGGGGGACTTGGAGGGGTAACATCTCCTGGTGGGACAACCTTGGCCAGCCCCTCCCAACAGAATTTTCCCCGAGGGGGGGAGGAGTTGGGGACTCTGGCTGAGCCTGGGAGGAGGGGCGAACCCCTCTCTTGGAGTCTGTGGGGGAGGGGGAGGGGGAGGGGAGGGGCCGGGGCGGGGCCGGGCCTCTGTCCACAGCATTAGTGCTGCTCTGAGGGACGCGGGGGTGCAGGCCGGGCCGGGCTGCGCGTTCCCACGGCGGCGGCAGAGCTGGGCTGCTATGGCGCGGACCAGGCCTGTGACCCGGGATTGCAGGCCCCTGCGCCCCCGCTTGCTGCCGCCGCCGCTGCTGCTGCTCCTGCTGCCCTGGTCCCCGTCCCTTGCCCTGGTGGTTGGTAAGTGGAGTCTGGGCGTGGGGCTGTCCCTAGGGCCACTGGCCTGCATGGGGTCAGGAGTAAGTGGCAGAACGAGGGGCTGAGGGCCTCTGAACTTGTGTGGGGCTCCGCGGCCTGGGCCTCGGGCAGCGCCAGCTGAGCTGTGAGCTGCTTTTGGTGCTGGGTGTGTGTGAGTTTCATCTTACTTGGGGCCGCCGGGACCCCTCCTTGGAGTGGTGTTGGTGCTGGGTGCTCTGTGGTGTGAGGGACAGAGTCTGGGGAGTTGCAGGAAAGGGGCCTCACCTGGATCTGCTGAGTGGGGGCACTGGAGTCTGGGTGCCAGTGGAGTATAGAAGTTGTGGGATGGAGGAGCCAGGAGTTGTGCTGAGGAGACTGGATAAGGTGGGCTGTCCGGCACTGCTGAGGGGTGGACGTTGTCTGAACAACTGGGTCTTTGCTGGAGATATCGAGTCCTAAAGGGTAGGGGGACCCCAGCTCAGTGGAGGAAAGAGACCTAGGGAGCCAGCCCCTGACCCTCGCCTGTGTGGTTTCCCTGCTGGCCTGGTCTGGATGGAGCTGCTCTGGGTCCCTTGGTGGGGTGGAAGGGCTGAGAGCACACGTGCATCCTTTGCTGCCCCTGTCTGGAAGTCCCTCCCCAGCTGGAAGGGTCACCTGAAACTGGACCCCTGACAACCAGAGCGTTTTGCTTCTGTCCAAGTGAAAACACGCATGCATGGGGCCTGGAATTCCTACTGGGGGCCCGGGGGGCTCTTTGTCCTGGGTACTTAGCCATACACGAGGCCTGGGAAGTCCCCACTTGCTGCCACCTCCAACCTCTGCTGGAGGGAGCCAAGGGCCTGCCCTGTCTGTAGTGTGGAGGCCACCTCCCAGCCTTATGGAGTGTCCTTTCACCTCAGGGGCAGGGGGCTTGCATACTCAGTTTCCTCTCCTGTTCTCAGGCCACCAGGATGGGCAAGGACCCCACTTTGTAGGGAAGGAAACCAAGGCACAGGGAGGGACTGGGGCTTAGGAGCTTCATCTTTGGGGTGACTCTGGGGGCTACTCTCTGCACACCCAGGACATGAGCTCCCACTCTGGGACTAGCCTGCCTGTGCCCTGTAGAATTCATGTGTGCATGTGTGTGCATACCTGGCACATGAGTGTGACATGCACAGGGCACACACACTGCCACATGAGCAGGTGTCACAGGCACATGTGGGCCCTCCACATGTGGACTCACACATATTCCCCCACGTTCCGTGGCACACAGCATGCATGTGTGTAGCTATATGTTGTGCATTTACACCATGTACCCATGTGAACTCCAGGCAGGGTAGACACAAAGCAGGTCAGAGTGTAAAGGGGAAGGAATGCTGACCCTTGGGGCCCACCTTTGCCCCTGGATCTTTTTGCATAGGGAGCTTCATCCTGGGGATCCCCAAAAGCTGGAGTCAGTGCACTAATGGCATGACTATTTCTGGATGCCATTACCCAAGGCCTGACTGTGGAGAGGGGAGGAATTAGGGACTGTGTCACTGGAAAGCTGATTTCCACCCCAGAGGAGGTGAACTTCTGTGCTGCCGCCCCTGCAGCCCTGAGCTGGGCCCCGCCATCCCAGGCCACTCTGCCTCAGAGGCCCGCTGGTTGGTTGCTATGGAGAGGACCAAGCATCTTGGAGCACAATGGGACCCCCCCTCCCCGAACACCCAGGGAGCCCAGCAGACAAAGGGACAGCCAGCCTGGTCCCCTTGTCTGTTCCCTCCTCCAACCAGAGGAAATGGGGGCCTTCAGTACAGAGCAGGGACTGGGCGGGAAGCACTCACACACGCCCCGCTCCAGGATCCTTGGGTGCTTGAGGTTTGTTGATGAGCAAATCTCAGCCGCCAGAACAGCAGGCACTGCTTGCTCCTGGGCCGCCCGATTGGCCTTAATCCTGCAGCCTGCGAGGTCAGCACTGATACTGCTGTTGACAGAGGAAGTAGAGGAGGCCGGGGAGAGGCGATAGCTTGCCTGAGTCACTCACTCTAGGCACATACGTGACAGGACCAGAGTTTCAGGGATGACTTTCACCTTCAGAGAGTCATTTTCCTCTGGACCTCAGTGAGGCAAGACTCAATCTTCACTCTGAGGCCAAGACAAGAACTCCACGTGGTGCTTCTCCACTTAGCTTTTAGGGCGGGACCCTGACTTCCAAGGAGATTTTAGGAGAAGTCTGTTAATAGCAGTGAAGTGATTAAAATGGCTGCACAGCTGGCAGAGTGGGAGTCACCCACCCTTGGGGAGGTGTCCTCCGGGAGCCCAGCACTCTGAAACTCCAGCTGGAAACACCAGGGACATGCCACACCTTGCCTAGAGAGGCCACTAGTATTGAATGATGCTTCTTAGTCTCCTGGCATAAACATTTCTAACAAAGAGCATTCCAAACTTTCCCACCTTTTAGAGATGCCTACCCTTTCATGTGAGGCCATGCTGTGAAGCCCTACTCAGCACTGCTCCCACCCAGCCACAGTGGGTCAACAGCTTCCCACACCTGAGATGTTGGGTCAGAACATGGAAATATGTTCCTCTTGCCTGACCAGTCAGCAGCTTCTCCAAATTGACTCTTAATACAACGCTGGTCTCCTGTTGGGCTTTTAACTCAACCCGTAGAGGTTAAAAGCCCTGAGTGAGTTCTGCACAGAGAAGGAAGGCTGCCTGCTCTAGCCAGCATCCGAGTCTTTCCTCCCTGTAGCCACACTGGGGACAGAAGCCAGGGCCCCTGTGCGAACTGTGGTGCTTGCCTGCCGAGCCACACCTGCAGCCCCTGGGACTGCATTCTAGAGAAAAGTCCGCGGTGCAAGGGTGAGGCCAGGAAGAGGGCCATACACAACACGAAGGTGGCAATTTTGTGTGCATTGGCAGAATGCTGACGATCTGGTTCTTAGTTTTTGAAGGGATGGTCGTGGGATTTCGTTTTTGTTTTTGGCTTTGCTTTGAGACAGAGTCTTGCTATGGTTCAGGCTGGTCTGAACGCACTTGAGGTGATCCTCACGTCTCAGCCTACAGAGCTCTGGAATTATAAGGAGTGCTGGAATTAGAGGCATGAACCAATGTGGCTGAAGCTGGGCAACTCGATCAAGCTCTTTGCGTTTAAAAAGTGAAAGTTTTCTTAACAGCCCCCTCTTCTGGTTCGAACTAAGTATAACAATGTAATAATAGATGCACGGTCCAGGCGTATAGTGGGCACTCAGAGTGAACGGTTAGGCCCTGCCTGCCTCGTTCGAGGGGTAAGCTGCAGGTCCAGGACAGGGGCTGCGTCCGTTAATCCCTCCCCTGCCAGGTCAGCTCAGGCAGCCCCAGAGGTCAGGAAGGATTTGTAAAGATAAGCACAGGCCCCTCGTTGCCCTGGCAACAGGCACCACCCCTCCAGCCTGGCCCAGGACAGCCCCGCCCCTACACGCCTGCTTCCTTCTCCAAGCCAGCTTGGTCTCCCCGGCTTCCCAACACAGACACCTTGAAAACCAGCCATCCTACCTCTCGGTGCGCAAGAGCCCAGCGCAGCCTGTGCAATGTAGATTTTTGGGGCATGGGCCTATGATGGTTGTAGATCGAGCGGGCTCCCGGTCACCTAGACTGAGGATTCTGGAGCAGGGAGAACCAGGTTCTGATTCCAGCCCCTCTGGGGCGTGGGGCTGGGAAGTGGCTTCCTCCCCGAGTTTCACTTTACTCTGACGGCAAGATTCCATCCCTCGAACTCACCTGCTCTGGCCCTGGGAGGACCCCAAGGCCCCAAGACCCCAGGGAAGGCAGAATGTAAGAGGCCCTGGCACATGTCCTAGTCTAAGCCCTGCTTTCCAGTGTGGTGGGCTCAGCTCCAGAGTGGGGTGGGGGCTTAGGAGAGGGCTGTGCCTGCTAGGGATAAGATGGGGCTGTTGGCACAGGACCCAGCAGCCAGAGCCCTTCACCATGGCACCTGTGACCACTGTCCTTCTGAGTTGTGTGGGCCAAAGGACCCCAACTGGCACAGGCCACAACCCCACCCAGGGGCTCACCTCTGAGTCCTCACAATGCCTCTACTTATGGGTACTGTTGGCATCTCAGATATAACCCAGATCTGATGTTCCAAACCTGTCTCCTTCCTGAGGAAGCTTGATCATATGCCCACCCCTAAAGACCATCTGCCCCCTTTATCAGGTCATCTTCTGTCCCCCCACTGCCAACCTAGGGACCCGACTGTACACTGTGAAACTTCAGCCCTAGTCACCTCCTCCTCACCTATCCCTGACCAGGCCTGGCAGAGGGGCTGGGAATGGTGGCCCCAGTGGAGGAGCACAGAGGTGTCCCCTCATCCTGAGCATGTTCTAGATTCTCTGCTCTGCCACCCCCCCCGGCCCTCATGGGTGCTGGGCTCCCAGTGTGAGCTGATGAGCCCTGCTGAGCTGCACCAAGGGCTCGGATCCTGGCGGGGGTGGGGACTGGCCATCCATATCTCCCTAAATTCACTATCTCCTGTCCCCTGCCCTGCTTAGGCCTGCTGGGGAGCATGGGGGTTGGGCCAGTGGACAGTGGAATGTGGATGACGCCTTCGAGGCTGGCAGCCTTATCTGGGGGTCTTCACAGAGAGAGAGGGGAGGGTGTAAGGCCTGGCTGCTCTGGGGTCTGGTTAGCCTCGGGATGACAACCTGGATGGGGGAGGGGCTCTCCAGGTGGGGCTCCTGCAGGAAGCCCCTCCCCCACTGCAGAGAGCTCCCAGCAGGACCACTGGAGCTTGGAACTCCTTGCAGTTTATCCCAGGGGTACACTATCCTCATTCCCTCTCCAGGGTGGGAATGGTTGGGCAGGAAGGATGACCTGCCTGACAGTCCCCAGGTAGTCATTTTCTTTTTTTAAAATTTATTTATTTTTATTTATGTATGTGTGTGTGTGTGTGTGTGTGTGGCCAGCTCAGCCCACCAGGGGGCGGGGCTGGCTGGCATGTGGTGCTGGGGGATTGAACCGGGGTCCCTGTGCTTTGCTAAGCTTGTTCTAAGTAGGTGCTTTAGACCACTGAGCCATCTCACCAGCCCCGATAGTCATTTTCTGAGCTGGGATTTGAACCCAGGCCTGTTCGTGAAGAGGCTGTCAGGCAGGGAGGATGGGAGGACAGGTCGCTGGATCTCGATTCCCAGCCAAGCTGGAGACTTCAAAGTGCTGAGTCAGGTGCTGTGTGCCAGGGCTCAGTACCTGCTCTGTCCCCCAGACCCTGTAGCCCCACTCGCAGGTCAGGCACTTGCTGTGTGGTGGGGGAAGAAATGAAGGCCAGAGATCCTCCAGGAGCTCCCAGGCCAGCAGGCAGAAGGGCAGGGTGAGGTCTTGCCTTTGAAGTCACCCATCCTTCTAAGAGGCTGAGGTCAGACAGCTCGGGTTTCACACAGGGATGGAGTTACCAGACCCCCCGACAGGAGAGGGTAAGAGCTGGGAAAGTGCCCCCTCCTTCAGGCTGATGCCCTGGTCCTCCTGGCCTGTTTGAGTAGGGAGTAGAAAGGAAAATCCAGATGCGCTCCCTCTCCATTATGGCCCAAACAGTCTGGATATTGAGGCCTACTCAGTGCTGAGACTCAGTGCATTGAGCACTACAACAGCCTGTGCCCACCCACCAGGGCACTGCCAGGATGGGAGGAGACAGTGTAGGGGCCACTCATAGGCTTGTGTTTTTTTCCATTAATCTCACTAGGGTGCCAGGCACCAGGCCTGCTTCTCTGCTCTGCAGACACTATCCCCAGCTCCAAATGTAGATGACGGCAACTGGTTGGGCCCTGCCTCACACCCCAGCAGACAGCTCCAGGCTGCCCTCTGGTGTCTGTGGCTGAGAGTGTGGGGAGGAGGCATCATTCAGCCCCTGCCCAGCTTCTCCCCTCTTTTTACAGGGACGGTGCCTTCTGAGACCCCGAATGGGCAGACCTCAGACCCATGCGCCTCGGAGCCATGCGCTCCAGGGACCAAGTGTCAGACAACAGACAGCGGTGGCCACACCTGTGTGCCCCCAGAACCCCAGGGCTGTGCCACCCAGCCCTGCCACCACGGTGCCCTGTGTGTGCCCCAGGATCCGGATCCTAACAGCTTCCGCTGCTACTGTGTACCTGGTTTCCAGGGTCCCCGCTGTGAGCTGGACATTGATGAGTGTGCATCCCGGCCCTGCCATCACGGGGCCACCTGCCGCAACCTGGCTGATCGTTTTGAGTGCCACTGCCCCCTCGGCTATGCAGGTAATGTGTGCGCTGCTCTGGGTGGAGGTCTGGACTTCGGGTCCCACCAGTGGCTCCCAGTCTACACAGCCTGATTCAGTTCTGGCTTTAGTCACGAGCTGCTCCAGGACACTAGCCACACTGAGTGTCCCCACTCCTGGGCTTCCTATGGGACCCCTTGGCCTCTTGGACAGACCTGGCAGCTCCAGTGAAAGTGTGTGTGTCCGGGTGTCTGGCCTCTTGCAGGCACTTAACAAACGTTATTTTGGCCCCTTCTGCACAGCTGGGTTTGGCTCTGGAGTGGAGCCCAGCCACAGGCATCCCTGACAGAGCAGAGCAACCTGGCAGATTCGGCTGATTTGCTTTTTCAGGGACACCCAGACAGCATGTCGAGTGTTATCTCACTGTAGACCTGGGTCAGGCTGTCACACAAACACTGTCTAGATCATCCATGGCCCTAGAGGGGCACACCCTCGAGGCAACTCAGGATATAATGTTGCAACCAGATCCTTGTCCTCTGCTGTCCTAGCTTGGCAACCACTCATGCTCTTGTTCCATTTGGAATGCCGAGTGCTCAGAAAAGTGACTGACACTGGGCACAGGCTCTGGAGAATAGTGTACTTTTTTTTTGTGGAACTGGGGATTGAACTCAGGCCATTGCGCTTGCCAGGCAAGCACTTATTCTAGTGAGCTATCTCCCCAGCCCTAGCGTGCTGTCTTTGTCCAGCTTGGAGGCCAGGGCATCCTGTAGCTGCAGCCTGAAGTTGGGAAAAGGGTGCCGCTGGGGGGACAAGCTGACAAGAGTGGGGCTCAGCCCAGGTCCTCTGTAGTCCTAGTCAAACTTAAGTGTAGAAAATTCTGTTTTGAGGGCAAAAAATAATTTGGAGTCACAGAGACTGGGGGACTAACAGGACACATAGTGAGATGACACTGCTTCCTCACATCTTGCTTGTCCTCTGGTGTCTGGCTGTGCCGGGTAGGCACAAGGTCACTCCTGTCTGCTTGTCTCTGTGGGTTTGAAGGTCTGCTCCAGGGGCTCCATGTATCTGCCATATCTGTGGGCACCTTGGTTCTCTGAATGCCTTGCTGTATATGAAATGCGTGTGCACACTGGCAGGTGTGTACACACTGGAAGTTCAGGGCTATGATAACTCCCGGGTGTGAGCTTGCAGCGTCTGCCATGACTCATCTCTCTCCTTCCATTCCAGACTGGTTGGGGGAGGTTGGGATTCCAGGAGGCCTGAGCCTGGCTCCCCCTGGCACAGTGGGTGGGAGGCAGGCTGGAGGGTCATGGGAAGGAGGGACTGTGTTTTGTGCTCACTGAGCTGGGAAGGAGGATGATTCCAGCAGGAGTCAGCTGGGCCCCTGGCTCCCGAGGGCAAACCCACTTGGGGGGCGGCAGGGGCGGGGCAGGGCGCACTGGGGTCTGCAATGGCTCCTGAGCTTCAGGGTGAATCTTCAAAGCACGCAGCCACCCAGCCAGTGTGGTTGGTTACCCTACTCCGGCATGTCCTCCCAGGGGCCCCTCCCTAAAGACACCAGTGAGCCTTCCAGAATGCCGATAGAGCATGTCGCTGGGCCACTTACATCTTTTAGGATGAGCTCAGAGTCTGTTACCTGTGCCCCTAGCCCTGAGGCTGTGCCCCACTCCTGCCTCATCTGTTGGACTCTTTCCCTTGCTCCAGGACCCCTAGCCCCACCCCCAGCGGGACCTGACCCATGGCTGTCACCTTCTGGCATCCAGGAGCAGCTATCCCAATCTTTCAAAAAACTTCTTGCTAGGTGTGGTGGCACATGCCTGTGACCCAAACGCTAGGAAGGCTGAAGCAAAAAGATCACTGTGAGTTCAAGGCCAGCCTGAATTGCGTAGTGAAAACCAGTCTCAAAAAACAAAAACAAAAAAACAGAACACCCCCACAAAACAAAAAAATGCACAACTCTTCCTTTAAGAAGCCTTTGCGTGGGGCCGGGGGGATGGCTTAGTAGAGTAAGCCCTTCCCAGGCAAGTGTAAGGGCCTGAGTTCAGGCCCCGGTTCGGTTCGGGGGGTGGGGGGAATCATCAAGTTGTGCATTTTTTGTTTTGTGGGGGAAGAAGCCTTCGCTGACTCTAATTCCGCAGACAGTACCTGACTTGCTTTTCACAGGGCTCAGTTCCCTGGCTCACTGGGCCTGTCGTTACTAAAAGCCAATCCGCAGTTAGATACTGACCCAATCCCGGTTCCAGGCTTCGACCGCTGCGGGCTCCGCTGGGGCAGGGCTGTGGTGCCTGCTCTAAGCGAACTAGTGAACGCGCTCAGTGGAGAGCCACACGGGTCGCCCCTTGTAAGTGCAGCAGACGCGACCGCGGGCCCCGCGCTTTCGTCCTCCCCTGGGTGTGCATCGCCGGCTCTCTGTGTCCCCGGCCCCGTCCAGGCGTGACCTGCGAGGCCGAGGTGGACGAGTGCGCCTCGGCGCCCTGCCTGCACGGCGGCTCCTGCCTGGACGGCGTGGGCTCCTACCGCTGCGTGTGCGTGCCGGGCTACGGGGGCGCCAGCTGCCAGCTGGACCTCGACGAGTGCCAGAGCCAGCCGTGCGCACACGGGGGCACGTGCCACGACCTGGTCAGCGGGTGAGCGAGCGTGGCGCCGCGGGTGATGCCGGGCTCCAGGGCGGGGGGCGGCCGCGGGGCGGTGGGCTGGGGGCTCAGCTCCTTCCCGCCCACCCAGGTTCCGGTGCGACTGCGCGGACACGGGCTACGAGGGCGCGCGCTGCGAGCTGGAGGTGCTGGAGTGTGCGTCGGCGCCCTGTGAGCACAACGCCACCTGCCTCGAGGGCCTCGGGAGCTTCCGCTGCCTCTGTTGGCCAGGTACATGCTTGCACGTGAGAGCAAAGCGTGCGCGTCCCCAGGGCTGTGGGTGGGGGTGAGGGTGCGGGATGGGGCCGGGGTTTGCTGGGGGCAGAGCTGGGCTTTAGGGATGCACTTGTGCGCATGCGCGAGCTCGGTCTGGCGCCTCTTCTGCGGAGGTGACTGCACCACGTCTGAGCTTTACTTTTCCGATTTGTGAATTAATCACGCCTGCTCCTCAGTGCACTGAGGAGAGGGAAAGTGTAATGGCGGTGACGCATAGGTCAGGACGTGGCACAGGCGCAGTGCTCAGTAACACTAATGTACTACTCACCTTTGGGGTCTTACTCGCAGAGCTGTCGTTCCTGGCTGGCCCTGGGCTGGGCTGGTGGCAGTGGCAGAGCTGCCTAGGGACCTCCTGTGACCTGATGTCCACCCGTGCGTCCCCAGGCTTTAGCGGCGAGCGATGCGAGCTGGACGAGGACGAGTGTGCTGTGCGCCCCTGCCGGAACGGCGGCCTCTGCTTGCAGCGCTCGGATCCGGCCCTGTATGGGGGTGCCCATGCCACCCTGCCAGGCGTTTTCAGCTTCCGCCACGCCGCGGGTTTCCTGTGCCGCTGCCCTGCGGGCTTTGAGGGTGAGCTTCTGGCTGGGAAGTTGTTGGCCTTGTCCAGATGTCCAGAGAGGGGTCCCAGGCCCGCCTGAGACCTGGCTCTGTGGGCATCACGTGCCAAAGAGGCATGGCCTCAGGAAGGGCCTCAGTGTCCTTGTCTACCAAATGGACTCCTTTAACCCTGGTCTGGCTCTGAGGTGTGCGTGGGAGCCACTGCTGGGTCTCTTGCAGGGGATGACTGCAGCGTGGATGTGGATGAGTGTGCCTCAAGGCCATGCGTCAACGGTGGGCGCTGCCAGGACTTGCCTGATGGCTTCCAGTGTTACTGCTCCGTCGGCTACACAGGTTCCAGGGTTGGGTGGGTCTCCTGGGAAGGTCAGAGCTGGGGGGTGAGCAGATCCCTTCTGTCTGCCGTGTGGATTGATGGGGACAGGAGATGAGGCAGATGTGGATGCTGTCACCCAGGTCACAGCTGAGGGAGGCTGAGCTGGGCCCCAGGCTCTGGAAGTGGGACTGGAAGCGGCTGATAAGTACTTCTCAGCCCTGAGCTGTCCTTTCTCACATGCAGGTGGGATGTGTCAAGAGTGCTTGCTGGTAGGCACCCTTCCCCAGGTGGTGCTGGTTATGGGTCAGCAAGAACATACTGGGTGTTCGTGGGGCCCACACAGGGAAGAGCTAGCACCAGGGCCCAGGAAAGAGGGCCAGGCTGGCCCCAGAGCCTGGATCAGGAGTGTAGTCTTGGCACCAGGCTGTGCTGGCCGAGGCATGGGCGAACGTGCAGAGCCATTGCACCAGGGCAGGGCAGGTGGGCTTATCCAAGTTGGGGGCAGACTGTAGGACAGGCTTTGCCTTTGGCAAGCTGGGCCCGCTGCGTAGGAGTCGGGGTGCAGAACATTGCTCCCTCCGTGGGTCCATGCAATGCACAGTCACATGGTTGGAGGTGACCTGAGGGACATACACTCCCGAGTGTCTGTGCTCCTCTGGAATGCCCCTGCCGCCTCCCCTGCCTGCCTGCATTCCTGCTGTCCTGCTGCCTGCTCTGCTTGCAGGTTTCCAGGCACAGGCTTCATGTTTGGGGAAGGAAGTGGGGATCGAAGATGCTGTCTCAGTGTCCCCCACCCTAAGGTGACCAGTGCCCTTGGGGGGCCTAAAAAGCGGGGCGCTATCTGAGTCCTGTCCCAGCTCTTTCCCAGCTGAGCTGAGAGTGACAGGGAGGGCATCTCTGAGGCCAGGGCCCAGGAGGGGACCCTACTGTGGGGCTGGGCTCCCTGCTCACCTCCCTTGGGCAGGGCTGCTGTGGGGGAGGCCAGTGCCCGGCATTCCTGAGCTGCTGGAGGGAGGGGCGGCCAGGCGCTCCACTTTGGCCTCTGCGCCAGCTCTGCACTCAGCCATCTGTGGGAAGCCATGGTGCTGTGCATCCTGTGCCCCTTCCTGGGGGCCCTGTGGCTCTTGACAGGTATAGGGGGCAGGGCTGCATGTGAGGGTGGCTGGGCAGGTGGCTGGGATTCCCAGGACATGTCTGTGGCTGACAGAGTGAGTGTCCCATTGGGTGGCTCCTTTGGGACTCAGTTGGCCCAGGTGGGGTGTGGGGTAGGGCCAGCCTTGGCTTGTTTCATGGCAGCTCTGCCTGAACTGGGGTTGGGCTAGAGCCTGGGCAGCTGGTGGGAGGTCAGGCAGCTGGTGGGAGGTCAAGAGGAGAGTGTTAGGTGGTCTCTTCACAGTAGCATAGAGTCCCTTAGAGAGATGGTGTGGTAGCAACTGGGGCCACTCCATCCTCACTCTTTCCTTCCATCTTTGTCCACAGAAGCCAGGCGAGGCCTTTTATTGGGCATCAAGTACAAATTCAGGCCTAACGGAGATTGTATTGGAGAAAGCAGAGGGGCCTCTAAACTGGGCTTTGCAGAATCAAGAGAAGTTCCTGGTATTAGGGATTAAACTCAGGACCTTGTGCTTGCCAGGCAGGCACTTATGCTGCTGAGCTATATCTCTGGCCCTTCAATAGGAGTTTGAAAGTTAGAATAAGAGAAGATGAGGTATTCTAGGTGAGAGAAGAGAAGGAGCAAAGCTCTAGAGGGAGGACTTTTTAGGAAATGCTTGAAAGAATGGGAGTGCAAGGCTTTTAGGAAGCAGGGTCGAGGCATGAGGGATTGCTGGAGCCCAGCCAGGAGGGGTCATGAAGGCCAGGGTGCGTGGTGGGTTAGGAAGCAGAGGAGCCTGTCCAGACAGCGCTGGAGCTCTACTGCTGGTGGAAGCAGATGCAGGGAGGCACCTGAGTGGGTGAGCTGCAGGCTGCCAAGTGAGGCCCCAGAAGCTGTCAAGACAGGAAAGTGAGGTAGGGGTGGGCGAATGTTTGGGGTTGAATCACAAGGTGTGGAGACTCTCCAGACGTGGGGAGAAAGGACTCTGGAAGATCAGGAGAAACCCTTCAGGAGTTGCTTTGGTTGATAGGTACTAAGGTCCCCATCGCAAGAGGCATGGAGGTTCTGGGCTGAGCCTAGGTTCTGGCCCTGGACGTTCCTGAGCCTTGGCCTGGTCTCTCCCAAAGGCCTCACATGTGAGGAAGATGTGGATGAGTGCCTGTCGGAGCCCTGCCTCCATGGTGGGACCTGTGATGACACTGTGGCTGGATACACCTGCCGGTGCCCAGAGACCTGGGGCGGGCCTGACTGCTCTGTGCAGCTCATTGGCTGCCAGGGCCACACCTGTCCGCTGGCTGCTGCCTGCACCCCCATCTTCAAGTCTGGGGTCCACAGTTATGCCTGCCGCTGCCCGCCTGGCACCCATGGGCCTGACTGTGGCCAGAATACCACCTTCTCTGTGATGGCCAGGATCCCTGTATGGGCATCGGTGCCAGCTGGCGGGCCTCTGGGCCTGGCACTAAGGTTTCGCACCACGCTGCCTGCTGGGGCCCTGGCCACTCGGACTGATACTCAGGACAGCTTGGAGCTGGCACTGGTGGGGGGCACACTTCAAGCCACTCTCTGGAGTCATGGAGTCACTGTTGTTGTCCTGAGACTGCCAAGCATAGTCCTAAATGATGGTCACTGGCACCAGGTGGAGGTGGCACTCCGCCTTGGGACCCTGGAGCTGCAGCTGTGGCATGAGGGATGCTCTGATGGGCTTTGTGTGGTCTCTGGTCCTGTGGTCCCACGTCCCACAGCTCTGGTGGCTCCTGGGCCTCCAGGACCCTGCTCTGTACAGCTGGGTGGCTCGGCCTTTGCTGGCTGCCTCCAGGATGTGCTTGTGGATGGGCACCTTGTGCTCCCAAACAACCTCAGCCAGAATGCTGTCGTGGGCTGTGAACGCCGTGAGCAGTGCCAGCCTTTGCCCTGTGCCCACGGAGGGGCCTGTGTGGACCTGTGGACTCACTTCCACTGCGACTGCCCCCGGCCATACAGTGGTCCCACATGCGCCAATGGTGAGGCCAGGGGGAGGCAGCACCTGCAGCCTGGGTCCACCCAGCCCCCTGACCCGCATGCCTCACATTGGGCCCTGTCTCTCCTTGCAGAGATTCCTGCTGCCACCTTTGGCTTGGAGGGCACTGTGAGCTCCACCTCCTTCCTACTCCATGAGCTGCCAGGCCCCAACCTCACGGTGTCCTTCTTCCTCCGCACACGCAAGCCTGCTGGCCTGTTGCTACAGTTTGCCAACCACTCAGTGGTAGGCCTGACGGTCTTCCTGAGTGAGGGCCAGATCCTGGCCAAGGCTCTGGGCAGTCCTGTTGTGGAGCTGCCTGGGCGCTGGGACGATGGGCTCCGCCGCCTGGTGACGCTCAACTTTGGTCCTGACCAGCTTCAGGACCTGGGGCAGCAGGTGCACGTGGGCGGGAGAATCCTCCCTGCCGACAGCCAGCCCTGGGGTGGGCCCTTCCGAGGCTGCCTCCAGGACCTGCGACTCAACGGCCTCCACCTCCCCTTCTTTCCTCTGCTGGGGAACAACTCCAGCCAGCTCAGTGAGCTGGGCGAGTCCCGGAATCTCACCCAGGGCTGTGTGTCTGAGGACACATGCAGTGTGAGTGCCTGGGAGGGGACTTTAACCCAGGATCTGTCCTGGGTTGCTGGGGGTTGGTGTGTCCTTTCCCTGATGAGGAAACTGAGGCAGGGATGGGGTGGGGTGGGGAGCGGCCTGTCCAAGGTCTTTTGGCTAGAGGCAGCACTACATTTGAATTCAACTCGTCTCCATCCGACTGCTCCTCCTCTCTGGTAGTCCCTGTCCCTGACTGATAGACACCTTGACCTAGACAGAGGGCTGCCTAAGCCTTTTGCTTGGGGGAGAGGGTCCCGTGGGCTCAGGAATAGCACTCTGGAGCTGGAGTGGCCTGGTGTTAAGTGTCTCCTGTCCCTGCTGGCTGGTGATCTCAGTACATGGCCTCACCTCGCTGAGCCCAGCTTCTCTTATCTATGATGTGAGCATGGTAGTGACCTTCCATGTGGTTTGGAGTTTGGGTGTCCCCAGGAGCTGCTCTGTGTGGTCAGGGCAGTGATGGTCCTGGAGCTGATGCTGTCCCCAGCCTGAGACAGCCTCTCCCTTGCTATGTTGCAGCCCAACCCCTGTCTAAATGGCGGGACTTGCCTGGTCACATGGAATGACTTCCATTGCACCTGTCCGGGCAACTTCACAGGGGCTATCTGTGCCCAGCAGCTGTGGTGTCCCAGTCAGCCCTGCCTCCCACCCGCCACCTGTGAGGAGGTCCCAGATGGCTTTGTCTGTGAGTGCGTGCCCTCGGAGCCTGTCTGCTGCAGCTGGATACTAAGCTGCTTAGATTCCCCCATGCTTTATGCTGGACCCCTGGCTGGGAACATTTACAGTCCCTGCCCATGGTGGTTTACCATTGCATCCAGAGGGACAGAGCTGGCTAGAGAAGGCGAGTGTGTGCAGACTCTGAGGAGCCACAGGGAAGGACACTGCAGGCAGGAAGAAGAGCATGTCATGTGCAAAGGCCGTGAGGTCTACAAGACCAGCTAAAGCACAAATACAGAGGGGACACAGCAGTAATTGGGGTAAAAAAATAGGCAGGGGCTTTGAGTCCCAGGCCAGGCAACGTGGACTTTATCACATGAGCAGCGTGCTGCCACAAGGTTTAAGTAGAAGGAAACGATGGCTGGCATTTTGAAAAGATGACCAGCTGCAGGGAGGGGGAAACCTCCATGATGAATCAGAGGCTCTTCCTGGGAGGAGATAGGGGTCAGATTTTCCAGGCATGGGATTGTCAAGAGTTACCTGGGGGGGGGGGGGGCGCCCCAGTCGTGGTCCCCCCAGTCGTGTCCCAGAATGATTCTCATGGGGTAGGGCATGCATGGGGTGGGCAGGTGGAGGAGAGCTGCGGGGGCACATGCAGATTCTGAAACCTGCGAGCTTGGGAGCGGTGGTGTCCCAGGCGAAGACTTCGTGCATCATTTCCTAACGCTCTTTTCTTTTCGCAGGTGTGGCCGAGGCCACGTTCCGCGAGGGCCCCCCGGCCGCGTTCATCGGGCATAATGTGTCGTCGGGGCGTGCGCTCAGCGGGCTCTCGCTGGCCTTCCGCACCCGCGACCCCGAGGGCGGGCTGTTGCGCGCCGCCGCGGGCGCCCACGCGGAGCTGTGGCTGGCGGTGCGCAACGGCTCTCTGGCGGCTAGCGTGAGCAGCGGCGGGGACGCGGC